AGCAGCATTAAGTCCATCCACATTGTTGTGCGACCACCACCGTCCTTCTCCGGAACTTTTTCATCTCCCCAAACTGTAGCTCTGTCGCCATTCAACAGTAACTCCCAATTCCTCCTCATCCCACCCCTGGCAACCACCACGTTACCTTCTGTCTCTACAAATTTGATTACTCCAGGGATTTCATATTACTACTCATAAATACTCATAGAGTAGTTGCTTTTTTCTTGTGACTGGCTTATTTCACTTAGCACAATGTCTTCAAGGTTCATGCATGTTGTAGCATGTCTCAAAATTCCCTTCCTTTTTGAGGCTGAATAATATTCCATTGTATGTACAGACTACATTTTGTTTATTCATTCATCCATTGATGGGCGCTTAAATTGCTTTCACCGTTTAGTTTTTATGAATAACACTGCGATGAACATGGGTGTACAAATATTTCTTCCTGCCTCTGCTTTCAATTCTTTGGGCTAGATGCCCAGAGGTGGAATTGCTGGACCATATGGTCATTCTGTTTTTAAGTTTTTGAGGAACCATCATACTGTTTTTCACAGTGGCCGCACCATTTTACATTCCCACCAACGATGCACGAGGGTTCAATTTCTCCGCATCTTTGCCCAACAGCTTCCATTTTTAGTAATGAATTCCACCCATTGGCATATATTGTTATCACAGGCTTACTCTGTAGCCTCCCTCTAGGTTGTTAACTGCTGGAGGGAAGAGTCTCTATTCTGTCCTGCCTCTGGGACATATGGCTAATTGTTTCTCATCACCTCTCTTGCTTCCTGGGCCCTGCTTGCTGGGAGGGCGGGCAACACAGGGTAGCCGATGATTCCTAATTCCAGCAAAGGCAGCGTCGTGGTGGAACATGAAGTCGTCATGGAGGCAGACTTCACTTCAGAGTTTCAGGAGCTGTTTGCAAACCTCACTAAGATCATAAAGGCCAAGGTTATGAATGAGACCGGAAAGCTACCCAGTAATTCTGAAGCGTGCAAAAGTAAGCCCACCTAAAACCCCTTGATGTTGGTGGGGAAAGGATGGGAGGGGTCGCTTAGGGAGGTCTCAGCCCCGTCCCCACACCTCACATCTCTCCTCTCTTCCGGAGCTCCAGAGACCTCCCTCAAGGATCCAGCAGTCAAGCCCGGATACCTTCCACAGACTCTGTGCTGCTGCCAGCAGGTCCCTCCCAGTCCCGGGCTGAGGTTGTCATCAGCCCTAACGTCCCCATCTGAGCAAGCTCACAGGCCCAGCTGCACCTGGGGATGGGCCAAAGATCCTACTAGTCTTGTCCGCAGCAAGGAGGAGGGGAAGGCTGGCTGCCCCCAGGGGGCAGAGGTGCCGTATCTATTTTGTTCTTTCCCACCACCCTGGGCAGATGTCTCATTCCTGTGCTACAGTGAGGAGGACACCTTCGTGAATGAGACCGTGAAGCTTGGCTTTGACCCGCAAGGTGAGCAGCTCCGCAGAGTGTGGATGGTAAACCTGAGGGCTACAGAGGGCGTGTTCACCAGGCTGACGCTTCCTGCCCGCCCCCACCCCCAGAGCAGTGCACTCAGAATGTTGCCAAGGAATTCGCCCAGTTCTGCTATGTGGATGATCTGGATGGGAAGCTGGCCTGTGTGACCAAGTGCACCCTGGGGACGAAGTCGCAAATGAACTGTCACCACGGCAGGTGCCAGCTTCAGCAAAGTGGCCCCCGTTGCCTGTGAGCGCCTGTTCCCTCTAAGCCCAGCATCTACCCTCTCCGGTGGCAGGGCCCCACTCTCCCCGACAGTCACCCAAGGGGGCAGGGTGGGAGTGGGCAGAGCTCGCAAGGCACCCCTCCCCCCTCCCCTACACCCCTCTTTCTTCTACCCAGGTCTCTCATCTTCCACCCCACCAGAGGGAGAGGGAGGTGCAGATTATAGACACAGGCATCGTAGGACTGAGCAAGCCCCTTCCTGAAAAAGTTCCAGTTATCAATTTCCAAATCTATATCTATGGATCTCTATCTCCATCTGTCATTCGTTTCCCTGACATCATCCCAGCCACCGTGCCATTATCACCTCCCGCTGTAGCTGGGACGCTACATTTGGGAGATCATAAATTAAAGTACAAAATATAAAACACG